GTTTCGAAAGAGGAGACAAGTTCCAGTAAAACAGGTAATGACTTTTGCTATTTTTGTGATAATACGTCTCATTCGATTCTTCAATGTAATAAAGGGCTCAAAATGTCTTTAGATGAAAAGAGAGCCGCTGTCAAAGATAAGAGGGGTTGTTTAATTTGTTTACGTAAAGGTCACGTAGCTAAGCACTGCAAGACGTTTTTAAAATGTATGGCCTGCGGTAAACGTCATGTAGTGATATTTTGTCCGGACCTTCATAGGGATAAACAAAAGGAACCCAAAGAAGCGACAGAACTTTTCTCTAGGAAAGGCGGAAATATTTTATTACAGACTGATTTTAGAGGTTTCACATGAGGGTAAAAAGAAAAAAATACGTGCTCTGTGTGATACTGGATCGCAAAGGTCGTATATTAGGAAAAACGTAGTAAAATAGTTAGGCCTTAAGGTAGTAGGTATAGAGAATTTAGGTTATTCACTATTTAGTGGTGTTACTAAGCCAGCAAAAAACCACAGTCTTGTCGAAGTGAATGTAAGTAGTCTGGATTCTTCTTTCTCTACAAAATTCATTGCTCTTGAACTCGACGACATTTGTGGCTATCTTCCCAAAGCAGACGATCCCAAGCTAAGGTCAAAGTTAAAGTCACTGAATATAAGTATTGACGACAGTGACTGTGACCTTAGCGATGTAAATATGTTAATAGGAGCTGATTATTTAGGAGTAATTTGTACGGGCACTATTGTACAATTAGATGGGCCTTTAGTAGCTATTAAGACGAGGCTAGGATGGACATTACAGGGCCCTAACTTTTATAGTGCTGCACAATGCTCAATGACTTTCAATTGTCACGCTCAGAGTAAACTTTCAGATTTGTGGGATTTAGAGATATTAGGGATTTCAGAGCCACATGAACAGATGTGCAAAGATAGGAAAAAAGAAGAGGTAATGAGTCAATTTGAGCAGAATATTAGTTTTAAAGACAATTGTTACCAAGTAGGGTTTTGTGGAAAGATGGTTACCCCGAAATAGGCAGTAATTACAATGTAGCTTATAAAAGACGTTTAATGACGACTAGGAAGTTAGAGAGGACTGGTCATTTGCTAAGTTATAACGATGTTTTTCAGAATTGGTTAGACGAAGATATTATAGAACATACTGAAAACAATATAGCAGAAGGACACTTTATTCCTCATCACGCAGTCAATAAGATGTCTAGGACCACAACGAAGATACGTCCAGTATTCGACGCATCGTGTAAAGATGCGCAAGGATTGTCTTTGAATAACTGCATCGAATCGGGTACCAATCTTATAGAACTAATCCCTAAATTATTGATGAACTTTAGGAAAGGTACGTACGGCGTCACGTCGGATATAAAGCAAGCCTTTCTGCAAATTTTAGTTTCAGAGAAAGATAGAGAGTATTTAAAGTTTCTGTGGTGGGAGAATCCGTTGACCAAAGAGAAGATAGTCACTTTCAAACATAAGAGAGTAGTATTTGGGGTGACTTGTAGTCCGTTTCTCTTGGCGGCTACGATTAATTATCACTTAGGCAATTTTGAAGGAATGTACGGTCAGACAGTTGAAATTTTGAAACACTCCTTTTATGTTGATAATTGTGTAGCTAGTTTTGTAGGCTTTATTTACTTTTATAGACGAAGCTAAGGAAATTATGCTAAAGGGGGGTTTTGATTTACGATGTTGGGTTACCGCTCCTATTAGAGTAGATAACACTGTCCAGACTCAATCTGTATTAGGAGTGCTATGGAATACTCTTACGGACAACGGAATTACAGTGTAATTTCCGTCTTAGTAGCACTATACCAGATCGGGTCACGAAGAGAGATCTTTTGTCATTAACTCAGCAGATATTTGACCCTATTGGATTTCTTGCACCTGTTACCCTAGTGCCTAAACTAATAGTACAAAAGGCTTGGATATATAGTACAGGTTGGGATCAAGCTATCAGCAACGAGTTATCGAAGGAAATTAAGAGTTGGCTAAATCATGTTCATTTGATAAATGATTGCAAGTTGCCGAGACGCTTATCAGAGGAGAGGTTGACGAACTGTAACAAAAGTTTACATTTGTTTTGTGACGCATCTATTAATGCTTATGCAGGTTGTGTCTTTCTTCGGACCGAATGCAAAAGTAAAGTTACGATTAGGCTGGTTATGGCCAAAAGTAGAGTAGCGCCAATTAAAAGATCAATAACTTTACCTAGATTGGAGCTAATGGGAGCGCTTATTGCATCGCGGCTTGCAAATGAGATAAGTAGAACGTTGTTTACCGACGACACCTGCCCGTTATATGTTGGACAGACTCCGCGGTTGTGTTAGCCTGGATCCAAACCCAAAAATGCTCTAAACTGTGTCTTGTCTTTTGGAACTGGCCACTCCTTGACAGCGGCAATTATCTCTGGATCCGTGCGGATACCTTCTTCCGACACTACATACCCCAAAAACCTAACTTGCCATTTGAATAGTGAGCACTTCTTCAGACTCAATTTGAGGTCGGCACTCTGGATCTTCATGAGCACGCGTTCCAGGTTTTGAAGGTGTTCCTCAAACGTACGGCCTACGGTGATGATGTCATCCAAGTAGATCAGACAGACATCTCCAATTAGCCCGGTAAGTACAAGCTCCATGAACCTTTCAAACGTTGCTGGAGCATTGTACAATCCAAATTGCCACACACCCTTTCCTGTGGAGAATGCAGTTTTCTCCTTGTCCTTAGGGTTAATTTCGTACCAGTAGCCAATTTTCAGGTCCAGCGTACTAAATTACGCCCGTAAGCATGTCCAGCGTGTCATCAATTCTTGGCAAGGGATAGCTGTCCTTCTTCGTAACGTCGTTCAGGCGGCGGTAGTCAACATAAAACCGCATGCTGCCGTCCTTCTTCCTTACCAGCACCACAAGTGAACACCATGGACTAGATGAAGGTTAAATAACACCATCCTTCACCATTCCGTCAATCATGGTTTCCACTTCCTTTTCACGTGCTACAGGTAATCTTCTTGGCTGCTGACGAATAGGCAATTCTTCTCCTGTGTTTATTTTGTGTTGAACTAAGCCAGTCTTTCCTATGTCAGCTTCGTTTGACGAGAAAACATAGGCGTACTTGAGTAACAACTTCTTCGCCTTGACCATTTCATTCAGGGAGAGAACGCTGCGACAGTCTTTTAAAAGTGTGGTCACTCTCGTTTGTCCATCCTTGCTGGGGGTCCCAGTCGATAGATATTGGCACCGATGCATCAATCCACTTCCTCACTAGTACCAACCAATGTGCCTTTTTCTATAATCTGTTCCTGATCACAAAGGTTCAGCATACGTACTCCTGAGAGTCGGTGGTTCTGACCAAGGTTCGAGTCACTTTCCATGGAAGGTCATTGTCTACCCTTTCCACGAGTACTCAACGAACAGTTTGCCCAGGATTCCGAGGAAGTCTAACCGGCACAATCGTTTCCGATCTCGGAGGAAGTACCATCTTCTTAAGGCTGTACACATTCCCTGGTAACGGCCCTTCCACGAAAAGTTCCTCTTGTAAACATTTCAAAACACCTTGCTTAACGTTGTTCTCACAACAATTCTTCCTCATAAAGTCTAGGCCCAGGATGCAGTCGTCCATTATATCAGCCACGAGGACATTATGCAGGTAGATCATGTTGCCTAGCTTCAACTCCATCTCCTTCTCTCCACGGACGGGTATGCGCTGACCGGTGACTCTCACCAAATTAATGCGTTCTCGGTTGTATGCGGAGTCCCCAAGGAACTGACTTATAAGTTGGGAACTGACAACCGTGCGAGAGGCTCCAGTGTCTATGTTCAGTTTACACGGCGTTCCGTTGACCTCGCCCTAGATGATTAGGCTGTTCCCATCATGGGTTTGTGAGATCGAAATCCTTGGGGCTCTTTTAACATCAGCCAGCACCCGTCAGTTTCCCTGCTAATGGGCAGTGCTGTTAGCCGCACTACCCTCTCGAGATCGATCACCTTCACTATCTACAGTTCAAAAAGTGTTGGCAAATGACTGGATCAAAGGGAATTCTCACAGACACTAAACTCAATAAGGAATCAAAATGCAGATGCGTCGTCACCCGTGAGGACTACGATGGAATGCCTCTTTTCCAGTAAAATGGGTCTCCGGTTCTTTGCACTCACCATACGAAACACAGCAGTGTCAAGCTGCCATTTTACGCTGGTATACTGTGAGAGCGTGGTCCTTCCCCGGTCGAGCCGACCCATTCGTGCTACAACTATGTGCACTACTAATATAGCTGCAGCATGGCTTTACCACTTATAAAATAGCAGTATATTGTATTAGTTCTAGGTTTTAGAAATTTAACATTATACAAGTAATTAAGTATGGCCACAATCTGCCTAGATTAATGCTTACAATATTATTAAAATCATGGAATTTAAAACATTATCTCAGAATTCATTCAATCAAATCAACAAACAAGGAGGCAAAAACATAGTTCTACCGGATTCTTTGATATTTAAGGCCGGTAATACTGCCGGCGACTATCACTGACAAAGGAATGGCGAGAATTTTGAGAAATGGGTAGTTGAAAAGCTTTTTCCTTCACTTCCTGACCGCAGTGTCGTGGTAATGGACAACGCACCTTGCCATAATGTCCAGCTAAAAAGCCCCCAACAAAAAGTTCGCTAAAATCTGCAACGATAAAATGGTTGGAAGACAATAATATTTCTTGCGACAGGTCAGTGAGGAAACAAGTTTTATTTGAAAATATTGAACAAAACACACCCGTTGATATTGTTTATAAAATTAACAATATCTTAGAAGGACATGGCTATGACATTGCAAGACTACGTCCATATATTATGTGTGTGCAATTTAAATCCTATTGAATTAGCCTGGGCAATTTTATGGTAAAAATTTAATGGCAAACGCTTCGTAAGGGAACACAACATAAAGAGCGATTTGTGTTTGATTAAACTCAAAAAGGTAACAACGAATGCAATTTCTACAGTTACGGCAGAAAACTGGTCAATGTACGAAAACATGTTCAGAAACTAGATAATGAATATTGGGAAAAGGATATAGGAATGGAAAATGTAATGGAATATTTTATTATAGAGGTCGGAGAAACTAGCGACAAAGAGTCACTAAGTGCTTTGTACTTTTACTTTATTTTGTACTTTGCAATAGTATGAGTTCATTTGATATTGATTGTGATGAATGAAATATTATTGTAAAATATTTTTTCATTTTATCTATCATAAACCTTATTTAATTAATTGACTTTCCACAACAGTTTGAAGCCTCATTTACTTTATTTTCTGCGTTCACTCGTTCTTATCATATTTACCATTCCTGCTTAATACACATTCCAAATATACAAACTCATCTACTTGCTCGACCAACTCCCCTTCTATTCTTATTTCACATGTCGTTTTACTTTCTTCCCTTTCAAAATCCATAACTTTCGTCTTACTTGAATTCACTTACGTGTTTTTTGACGATTAACCCACGCATTCTTAACGCGCATTCTTCAACTTTAAACATTTCCAAACAACTGTACATAAATAGGATGGGGTAAAAAGCCATGGGGAAGCCACACAACCCTGTTTGACACCTTTATGGATGTCCGAAAAGGCGCCGTTGACCCTGACACAAGCACTAGAGTCCCTATAAAGAGACTTTAATGCCTGTATCAATCCAGCGCTCAACTCAAATGAGATCAGTGTTTGCCATAACACATCCCTATCCACTCTGTCATAAGCCTTTTCCAAGTACATGAACGTACAAAAAACTTTTTGTTTATGGCCAAAAACTTCTCCGCAACTATGCGCCTGGAAAATACTTGATCCGTACACCCCTTTCTCTTTCTAAATCCCGCTTGCACATCCCAAATTTTTCCATCTGTTTGTTTCATAACTCTTTCAATTAGTACTTTAGTATACAGTTTTCCCACAATGCTAAGAAGGCTGATAGAAAAAGGACCAAAAACTACCTACGGTAGTTTTTGGTCCTTTTTTTGCTTTGCACCAGTCTCGCGGTACCCGCTTCAGTTCCCAACATAAATTAAACAATGTGCACATTAAGCCTGCCACCACTACCTCTCATGCCTTAGCATTTTGATTGATACTCTATCATATTCAGTTGCCTTATCTGCTTTCATACTTTTCATTTCTCTATCTCTTTCCTCATCTCTCAGAATTTCTATTTCATTTAACTCAAAGGCCTCTCCGCTCACAAACATGCTTTCAAAGTATTCCTTTTATCTCTTTAAACTTAAAACTTCGTCATTCAGGATATTCTGATCTCGTACAGCATTCATTCTAGGCTGTTTCGAATGTGCCCTGGCAGTTCTTACGAGTTTCCAGAACATTTTAATATTTTCCTGGAGTTATCCGATATTCTTCTATCATTATTGTGCACGACGCAAACAAAGTGATACGTCGAACGAAATCATACTGATTGCTTGTCGTAAGCGACGCTAGTTAAACAACCTAGGGGCGGTGGGCGGAGCCATGAGGGTGTTACGATCGTCGGGCCGTGCTCACGATTCAACAACTAGCGGTGGTTGCACACAGCAACGCGGAAAAAGCCTTATTCAGAATATTAAAAAATATAACTTTGTATTTTAGAAAGAATAGTATTGTAACTATGCAATAACTCTCCCAATAAAGGCACCGAATAAATAGCGAGAGTTAGCATAGATTTAAAATGTAGTAATTAATTAATGTAAAATTGTAAAGTAATTATTGTAATTAGTTAGTGTAAATTGTATTTGTTCTTATTCTTTTATATAGTACAACTTACCTTTCTTGTATATTAAGCCCTTAGGCACGTAAAACAATCAACAGAGCATGTTATCGTGACGCGGCCGCGGAGCAAATGAGGCTACGCGCGCCGCGCCACGACGTTTTATATTTATAGTGCTGAGGCGGGGGGCAGGGTCCTCAGCCTAAAGTTGTTGGAAAACGAAGCTTAAACCTTTTAATATGTAGAAAAATTGTGTACATTGTGTACATATTAGTTTAATAAGTAGTTGTAAGAATATTATATATTTAATTCTGTTCATTAGTTTGTAAGAAACATAACCAATAAAGAAAGGCGCGGGGGTGAGGCAAGGGTCCGCTGGCCAGCAACGGCCAAATCGTATACGAGACGGGCCGGCCGGTACGGTCGGCAGTCGCTCTCCAGCCACCGAAAAGAAGACAGCAAGAAAAGAAAAAGTACAAGTTTCTCCTCACCGCCGCTTGCCTCCTGTTTAAGCAAGACCAACGCGTTTCATTCATTTTTCGAACGGCGTTACGGCGATCCGTAACAATTATTATACGTTTTTTTCTTGCTTTTTCCCTTCAACTACTTCTTTTACTCTCTCATTTAGTCGTCTAAAGACTGCCTTTCTCTTTCAATATTATATGGTTGCTAGTAAATCTAGCCATGTTCTCTTCATTGCTTCAAATTCCATCCGTACCTCATCATCCCACTATAACGTAGCTGCATCCCCCAAACCTTTCTTATCATTATGCCACACAGTCTCCAAGTCTAAATCATTCATACACAATTCATCCAAACGACTTATATTTTCTCTCAGTCTACATTTGTACTTCTCTTTCACACCTTCATCTTGTAACCTCTCTGTTCTTATACGCTGTAACGAAGTGGTAGACACAGATGTCCGATTCCGGCAACGTCTGAAAAGACCAAGTAATGTCCCTACGTTGGAACCCCGGTAAACCCTTGTGTTACGGCCTACGGCTGCTCCCTTAAAGTTCAAATCCTCAGGGGCCCATTCAGCTGAGTTTCGACGAGCAGACGTAGGTCGGGCCTCCTAAGGCCAAAGTGGAAATTCTCTAATTACACTAAACTATATGGGGGAGCGTTCTATACTACGGCCAGTCAACCGGGAGGGTATTAGACGGAGCTTACTTACCTATATCCAAGGCGACTGGTCCATCCGGAGTCGGTCAGGTCGCATGTGGTTGTGTAGTGCAAGGGAAATAAGGTGATGTGATGTGTATCTGGGTGTGACTGACGGTGATTGACCCTAGACCTTGGCCGTCGGCAGCAGCCCGGGCGTCGACACCGCTCCAAATTGAGGGAATCTTCCGCGGCGTGGTCCACAGTCACTTTCCTCGTTCGTCACGATGACAGTCCATTAACTCTATCGTACGATTAATTAACTTACAGAAGCCACTAACTCTCGTTTGTTATAAAACTTAACACACAAAACTAACAGGGAGTGCCCGGTTATTTCTAGACTATCAAAGGCCGCACTAGCTAATATTGTCGAATGCACTTATACAGATTCTGAGTCGGACCCAATAAGTCCCGGGAAAGGCTATCCAACAAGGAATGCGCGTTATAAATCCTAGACAGGATATTTACTAGACTTCCATTAAAATCTCCTAATATAACTATATTTTCATTTCCCTTGCATTTAATTCACACCATTCTTACCATTTCCCAAAAGAGATCTCGGATATAAGTGGGCTTAGACATGTCTGGGGCGTAGACCCCTAGAACAAACAGCATCTTTAAACCCATTTTCATTCGTATTCATGGCTGTCTCGGGCTTTCCGAAACGATGATATCGACTCCCAGACATGACCACTCGTTCTTGTCTACACTAGACTAGTACGCGGTATACATGCCGTAGTCTTCCCTTCCATTTCGTGTCATTTACACATCCCTTTATCATACATCATATTTCATATTTCATTCATCTTGTCATTCATTGCTCCACATACATTCAGCGTAGCCAGACGAGCTTTCGCAATCCACTTTTCACCACTCCGGGAGCCAGAACGTGACGGGTGGCGAACCTTGTCACCGGTTTTACTCCCGGAGATCCTTTGCACCCCTGCCCTATTAAAGGAACTCCGAGAACTCGGGGCCATTTCTTTTTTCGTTGCCTTATGGTTCGAAACTCGGGGATGACATATTTTACGCCGCTACCACATGGCGAGGAGACGAGTCTGTCCTTTCGGCTTTGTCGCTCGTTTAGCACCACCCGGGGGACACTTGTAGGGTGGGCCTAGGATTAGGTGGTCGAAGCCTACGGACGCGAGCGACTGGATGAGTCCCGTTTACCGTTTAATCATTAATTATATATATAAAGATAAACGTGGGTGATTTGCTCCTTGATAGTAGAAATAATAAGTAAGAGAGGTATCTATCCAAACGAATACCTTAGTTGTTTCATCCAAGGAATAGAAAGAAATATAAATAAAACAAATATTTCTATTAATAATTAGGAAATTCTTAAGAAATGGCTGTAAAGAAATTTATAGGTGTCGTAAAATTGATTACCAATTAACCTTTAAGACAAAACTAATTTTTATTTTCTTTACGACTGCTATGAGGGATACACTTTTTAATTGACAACGACATGGAGAGATTTATTTTTATTGTTGTTTTTTTCTTCATATATAATTGTCAAACAGCGGTAAGGGATAATAATCTTTATATAGATAATTCTTCTGTACGTGTTTTTATCACTGGAATCTAAACGACTGGACCGATTTACATGAATTTTTTTGGTGTCGTTAATGTAAACCATTAAGGGTTTACATTAACAATTGGACCCGGTAGGTGGCACTATTGTCATGATCCAGAAATCACCTAGATGGATGGATTCATAGTTTTGTAAAGAATTAGTGTATCAAGTAAAGTAACAGTGAGGATGTCCGCAGTAGAACCAGAGTAACCGAAATAGCGTGACGGATCAATAAGCTCAAGTAGCCATGTGCTGGCCATACAGCTCGAGGAACCGAAAGCCGATGGGGGAAAAAAGATTCTCGAGTTGCTTCGTACCGGTGAGCGAAGTTTAGGGCGGCCCCCCACCAAATGGAGTGACGACCTGGTAAGATCGATAGAAGTCGATAGATGCAGGCGGCTCAGGATTTTGCTTTGTTAGTATTCCTTGGGGGAGGCTTATGTTCAGCTGTGGACTTGTGATGGAAATAGCAGCCTGTAATATCCGTCCCACTGCTTGGCCACAGATTAAATAATATTACTAGCTTGGTATAGCCTCCTGTCTTTTCTGAAAGGGTTTTAAAACAAGAATGAGTCCGTCGTGTTACCTCAATGTGTGTTGGCTTTTTAATTTCTCAGACACGTAAGTTTTCTTCATTGCCTTGTTACAGTCTACGAGTACATACACCACTGCTGTGTATAGGCCTCCTCTCATTTCTGAGAGGGTTTCAGGGATAGGAAATGTCCGCCGCGCTGCCCCAATGCGTGTTAGCGAACTTCACATGTCTTTGAAATATTTTTTTTCTTATTTCTCAGACATGCAAGTTTTCTCATGAGATTTTTCTTCACCGCCGAGCGCTTGATAAATCAGCAATTAAAGTTGCAATTAACAATTTCTTTGGTGCCGGAGGAGATCAAACCCGGATTGCTCGCATAATGTGAAGTTTCTACAGACTTCAAAAAGGATGTATGTATGTTTTTTTTTTTGGTTACCTCGTAACTTTTTTCTGGGTGAACTAATTTCGATGATTCTTTTTTTATTTGAAAGCTGGTGCTTCTCATCGGATTAAGGATTCGAACCCGAGACCACTAGATCAGTAATCGCGCTTACGACCACTAAACAAAAGAGGCAGAACCTAATTCACCATGTGTTAAACGATGAACCGTGGTAGTTCAGGGGCTAAGCACTCGCTGTACAAGTAGTAAAATTAAATATTTTATACAAACGACTTAAATATAAATTATTAAGGAGAACTCAAAAACTATTAGTCAGACCTTTATTAAATTTATATGGGACCACATGAGAAGCACCGACTTTAAAATAAAAAAAGAATCGACTAAATCGGTTCACCTAGAATAAAGTTATGAGGTAACACATAAAAAAAACATACAGTCGAACCGCCTTTTTGAAGTCGCTAGAAAATGACAGTAGCCCTGTGATCACCAGTGGAACTTATTGAGGATGTAGCTTTTTAGAATCTGTGATATCTTCCTCATTGTAGCCCCTTTGTATTGCTTATAAATACTTTACACCGAATATACTGCACATTTGTTTTTTGTCTTACCCGGACCCCGACCTCAATGGATTGAGCACCCCATGATAAATCCTATCCTATCATCCCTACTATAAGGAAAGCTCATATTATCCAGTAGTGAGATCACTTCATAAAATTAAAGAAATTTAAAAAAAATTTCAGACATGTATAGGAGAAGTCACTTCAGAGGAAGCACGTTTTTACGAAAGTATTAATGCCACTGGGGTTAGACCAGATCACTACGCTCTTAATCATAAATTTAATAAAGAAAGACTGGGGGTAAGATCAATTTGATCAGTTTTTCAGATCAGTAGTTTTGACAAATTTCAACTAAATCGATCACTTTCGAGTACTATAAGGTTAATGTAAGTATTTATTAAAGGTCAATTACGTATAATGAAATCCTACAATATTAAAAATAAATATAACAAGTGACCCTCAGAAAGTGATTTATTTCTCAAATCAGCACCGCTACAATTATTTCTTAGGTTTTCCAATGCGAAAGGCTTGCAGGGCCGGATTAACCTACTACAGGCAAAGTAGGCAATTGCATATGAGCCTCGTGTTTTAAAAAAAAAAGAATCTGACGCTTTCATAAACATAGTTGAAAAAAGGGATAGAGGCCCGATCGATACTCGTGTTACCTAAGAGTCTCTACAAGGCTTAATTCGACACTGAGGTACTTATGGTTTATGGCGGTATAACGCGGCTAGCGTTGTCAGCGCTATACGATGAAGTCGTATATACGATGAATTAGTGACCGAGGCTAATACAGAGTACCTTTATATAAACCGAAATACCAAAGAAACATAAATGGCTCGTCTTACTCACCATGCAAGGAGCGGCCAGCGAAAGAACTTCCCTTATGATCGGCATCGAATGATTTACTGTAATGCCAAACTGAGGTAGGACCATGCTTACGCATAGTACCGTCCTTAATTGCAGCTTGATGCTACTGTGTTTCGTTTGGTAAGTGTAAACCTTTTTCACTGCTAACGAGGCGTTCTATCTTAGTCCTGTGGCAATGGATCTGCATTTTGACTCTTAATGGATATGTATGGGCCACAGTATCCATTTACCATCAGATGAACTGTGTGCTCTCGTGTAATCCTTATAGTGGCCCTTATAGGCTTAGATCTTAGGTAGGCTAGAAAGCATTGCCAGAGACACTGCCACGATCATACTAAGTATATCTAAATTCAAAAACGAACGGTTGTAATTCGTGAAACTTACGAACGGTAAAGGTACGAATCGTCTGGTACGTTTACGACTTGTTTACGACAAATTTTCCCTATTAATGGCAGAGGTCCCTGTGCAACGTGCTCTTGGCGTTTGCTGTTAAATTTCGGCATATTCCACAACTTAAAAATTATAATATTGTTTTCAGTATGTTCCTCTTTCCAATCTTCTTCTCTTCTATATTTTCAACAAAATTAATTTAAAATTATCACGCATGCACTCTCACTCCAACTGCACGTTTTTTTAACGTTTACTGTTATAAGAACTTATTTCCAGATTCAAAAGCCTGTTGTACTTACTATCTGTAATTTTGTCTATTAATTTTTAAGTGTGGTGTCAGCTGTACAGTAAATTGATAACATATATAGGATATTGTAGCCAAAAAGCCTTAATTACATGTCCAATTTTTTTAACCGTGATGATTAAACGAAAATAATACACATTCCAACTAATGTGGTTATTGTTGTTTGTATCACCTACGGATCTCAAACTAAAGATTCACGACCACTAATTTATTAAAAATGATGTAGACAAAATTGTTATGAAATTTTGGTAGGGTAATGTAGTAAACAGTGACCGTGAGCAGTATGAAGCTGAGAAAAAAGCCGGGGATATGACAGCTCTATTGGGTTTAAAATATGTGCATTATCGGCAACCGCATATTTACACAGACTTGGGAAGGCGATTCGTGCCGCAGTATCCATACTACGAAATTGTGAGTAAAATTTAGTTTTAAGTACTTTTTTATTAATCACATACGGTCTTCCCAAGTAACACATCAAAGCAGTGTAACGGCCGACTTTCAGTAATTTTGTGTCGTTTCCGCATTTTGAGTTAGTTCTATAGTAGCATTACAAACGTTTATACGGTTACTGTAATTCTTATTTGGCCACAAATTATACAGCTTTAGATGCTAAATAGGTTCACAATAGTTATTTAATTGCATTACAGGCGCATTATATTAGTATTATTGTGGTCAAAAGAGGCATCAATTGCATTAAAGAATCATTATTATAGACAATGAAGTTGCCAATCGCATTAAACAAACATTATTACGGTCAATGAAGTTGACAATCGCATTACAGAAGCATTATGCTCACAATATTATAAATAATGAAGATGTTAATTGCATTACAAAAGCATTAGACTAGCATAAGAATGTAGTAAAAGAATGATTGCAGCTATTTAAGTGTTCACAGTTAGAACTTAAATAAACCCTACGTCATTGCAAACACATCTCTATGCGCGCTATATATAAAAATGTTATAATTATAATACAATTAACGTTGTAATTTCACTACTTAATTTGTCTCACAATATAATATGGACGAAGGAAGACGGTCAAAACTGAGCGACCACATTTGTTTGCATCGAAACAAAATTTATAAAGTTTTTGATTCTTTTGTTATTTCATGCGTTCAATGTAGTTTATTGTAAATGTCTATAAGAGTTCAATTGAAACTAACCACTTAAAAATGCTATTACGCAACAAAGGGCACTAAAAACAGCTGAAAGTTTTACAGTTGGGTTGTAGTTTGCGGCATCCAACCGTTATACAGCGTAAAGCATCATATTGGTTTTAAAATGCCAATATAAAGCGTCAAGATGCTCGGTAAATTTATATAAGCGTTTACACGGACCTTAAGTTCTACATAAGTTTACTATTAGTTTGTTAAAATGCTTCCTGTGTTACTTGGATTATTTATTATCGTGTAATATCGATTTCTTAGTTTAGTATTTACATTGACATCGATTTTATGAGTAAGACCGTTAAACACATGCGTAGTATAAAGCAGTATCAAATCACCGATTTCATAAGTTATTATATTATGGAATGTTTTTATTTCTTTTATTAAAAGTGTATTATTTTTTTGACTAGGTATCACAAGCTCGAATGTCGTCTAAATGGTTACATTAAAACTGTAACATCTATTTTTACCTCCAATGTTGGATTTTTTTTTGTTAAAATTGTGGAAATATAACTTTTTTTATAGAAGGGGGGGGGGGCAAACGAGCATGCGGCTCACCTGATGGTAAGTGACTACTGCCGCCCATAAACAACTGCAACACCAGAGGAATTGCAGATGCGTTGCCGGCCTTTTAAAAAGGAGTAGGCTCTTTTCTTGAAGGTCCCTAAGTCGTATCGATCCGGAAAAATCGCTGATGGTAATCGATTCCACAAGGAAGTCGTGCGAGGAAGAAAACATCTTCTAAATCGCACAGTGGTGGACAGCCAATCATCCAGATGGTGTGGATGGTATCGGGAGTTCTGCCGCGATGTGCGTTCGTGAAATTTGGCGGCTGGGATTAATCCGAACAATTCCTCAGAGCACTCCCCGTGGTAAATGCGAAAGAAAATGCAAAGGGATGCAACATCTCTTCGCAGTGCCAATGAATCGAGCCTCCGAATCGTTGACGACCTCCGAAGGTCGTCAACGATTCGAGCCGCTCTGCGCTGAATGCGGTCAAGCTGGCACTGGGGAGCCCCTGCCCAGAAATGGGAACAGTATTCCATGTGAGGCCGAACCTGCGCCTTGTAAAGTTGCCGGCGGTGTGCCGGCATGAAATACTGTCCCGCTCTGCTGAGCACGCCAAGCTTTTTAGAGGCCAATTTGGCCTTCCCTTCCAAGTGACCTCGAAACTGCACGTCACTCGATATGTCGACTCCGAGGATTCCAACACTGGCTGAGGCAAGAAGCGAAGTGCCTTGAAACTGAGGAGATACGACAAAGGGGTTCTTTTTAGCGGTAAACGCGCAAACTTGTGTCTTCTGAGGATTAAACTGGACTAGATTTAGTCACCCCCAATTCGAGACTTTGTTCAGCAAAGATTCGACTTCAGACACAAGTTTGTTCCGGTACTCGGCGACGTTTTCCTGAGAAATATTGGCACTGCCGCTGTATAAAGCATCACCAGTGCTGTCATCCGCATAGCAATGAATGTTACCAGTAAGCAACATATCATTGACATGCAGAAGAAACAGCGTTAGTGATAGCACACAGCCTTGTGGACCCAGCGTTAATAGGCTTGTAGTCGGAGCATGCACCGTCTACAACGACCTTGATGCTCCGATCTGGAAGGAAGCTGGTGATCCAATTGCACAATTTCTCGGGAAGCCCATAGGAAGGGAGCTTCGAAAGAAGCGCTTTGTGCCAAACCCGATCGAAGGCTTTCACAATGTCCAAACGCCAACGCCTCCCCCTTGGACTCTACTGCCTCCGTCCATCTATGGGTCAGGTAGACCAGAAGATCATCAGCTGATCGACCCCGACGAAAACCGTATTGGCGGTCACTAATCAGCTGGTGATCCTCAAGGTACCGCATGAGCTGGCAGTTAATAATGGATTCCATTATTTTGGAGAACAAGGAGGTGATGGCGATAGGCCGGTAGTTGGACGGGTCTGAGCGTTCGCTTTTTTTAGGGATCGGCTGGACAAAAGCTGTTTTCCATGAATTCGAGACTATGCCTTGGGAGTAGAAGTACCGGAAGAGACGCGTTAGGACCGGTGCCTACTCCGGAGCACACGTCCTCAGCACAATTAGGGGGATTCCGTCAGGCCCACTCGACTTCTGGATATCCAGGGAGAGGAGTGCTTTGCGAACCAAGTGCTGTGAGAACAGCACATCCGGCATGGAGCACTCACACCGCGGGATGGTCGGCGGTGTTTTCCCCTCGTCATCAAGAGTCGAGTTGAACGCAAAAAGGGAGGCTAAAAGGTCGGCTTTGTCTTTTGCCGCTTGGGCCAGTGAGTCGTCCTCCCTGTGCAGAGATGGTAGTGATGGCTTGCAGAAATTCCCTTGGACAGCCTTGGCGAGAGACCAGAATGCACGGATTCCCGAAGGAAGGCGAACTAGTTTCTCGCCAATTCTGCCTATGTGCTCTGACTTTGTTTTGGCAATAACTCTTTTGAATGACCTGGAGGCGAAGTTATACTTCTATTTAAGTGTGCTTGTGTTTACATGCCGAGTCGCCGAAGCCGCAGCCCAGGCTTGATAACACTCCTGCTTACTGCGTAATGCAGTCTTACAGGAGCGACCAAACCTAGGCTGAGATCTGCCTCCGATGGGTACCACAGATGATGGAATAAATAGTTCCATTCCCTGTAGCACTACATCAGTGACAGAGTCAGCAACAGCGCTGGGATCATCCGGCGAGAAGCAAACCCTCCCCAATGGGTAGGATGCAAAGAAAGACCGAATTCAGCCCCAATCCGCTGACCTGTAATGCCAAACACAGCGGCAACCTGCAGAACACAACCGCGAGGGAGCGTGAGTAGCATCACACTCCGGATCAGACAATTGTCCGAAGAGCCGAGAGGGGCATTTACGGAAACCCTATATCCGTCCGGATGAGAGGTCAGCAGAAAGTCCAACAGGGAAGGTATATGATGCTCCACATCTGGAATCCGCGTAGGCGAAGTAACCGTTTGTGTCAGACCATATACTAGGGCAAAGTCATAAACAGATCTCCCCGCATGATCGGTTAAACGTGAACCGAGCCATTCGGCGTGGTGGGCGTTAAAATCGCCAAGGATTACGATCTCTGCGGATGGGACCTGTTGTAGCAAGGAATCTGTAGCCATTTGGACGTGGTCGATGAGTCGGTCTGTTTCGGCATTACCGCTATGTGACCTATAGAGGTACCCGTAGACGCGCGGATGGTCGTCGCTGTCTACGCGTAGCCAAAGGATGGACATGTCCGAACCTTCACGACTGCCAAGGCGTCGAGAACAGATGTCCTCTCTGACATACACGCAAACTCCAGCCCGAGACACAAAGGAGTGCTCCAATTTGTACCCCGGGTAGGAGAGATACGAAGTATCTGCCGGAGAGGACACCTGTGTCTCGGTCAGAAAGTGCAAGGCCGGCTTCGCCGTCTCGAGATGGTAGTGGACGGCACCCACGCTCAGGAGTGGAATAACGTGGTCGTGGATGCTCAGCAAGGGATTCTCCAGGGGGCTGGTAACTTCCTGGGGTAGTCATTGGTGTAATTCCGCTACCATGTTGATGGCGGGGGGGGGGGGAGGATAGGGCCTCCGGCCACCTACACTCACCAGGCGAAACGCAGAAGCAGAGCTTCTACTTTACGCCGGTATTCTGTGAGGTCGTGGTACCAACCCGGCTCGAGCAGGCCCATACGTGCCTATGCAAAAACTGCCGCGTGGCTCTACCACCATTAACTTAACCGTTAACGGTGGTAGAACCACGCGGCACCGTTAACTTATTTAATTTAAAAAAATCATTAAAATCGGTTCTTTCACGGTTTCATCGCGTAAGACACTGTGTAATAATTATGTGTAATACGCTTTGACAAAACAGACGCATCCATTTGTTTAAATAAACGTTAGGCTTACGTGGTAGAGCCATGCTGCAGCTATATTAATAGTATAGTTGTAGCACGAATGGGTCGGCTCGAACAGGGTAGGACCACGCTCTCACAGAACACCAGCGTAAAATAGCAGCTTAACGCTGCTGTGTTTCGTATGGTGAGTGTAGAGAACCGGAGACCCTTTTTACTGGAAATGAGGCATTCTATCTTAGTCCTCACGGGTGACAACGCATCTGCATTTTATTTTATTTTATTTTATTAAAATTGGTTTACCAACAACTTATGCACTAACATCTTCCCATATAAATCAAGCGATATAGTTAAAACTAAGTACACAGTCAATTACAGGTAAACACCACATGCATAACTTTTATCGCGACAATTAAAAGACGAATTTATACTTATTGAATAGAAACACTGTAGTATTGCCATTATAAAATTCACTAAAACAATCTGACCAAAAACAGAGCGGCAAGGTATGGATTTACAAAATTAAAAAAAAATTAAAAATTAAAAAAAAATTAAAAGATTAAAATAAGGAATTTTGATTCGCAAACGACGATAGATGTAGATGTCTATGAGCCACAGCAACCACTTACCATCAGGTGGATTGTGTGCTCGTTTGTCACCCTTATACTATAAAAAAAAAACAAAAATATAAAAATAATATTGCTTTAATGTCATAAAAATAAAGGTACATGAAATTTATGTATCATGAAATTTTATGTTACAGAAACCGACTGGAATGAATGGAAACGAAAATTATTTAACACCAATGAAAGTATGATGCTTTTACTCTTCCAATAGCTAAAGTTTTAATATCAAAGAAATAACCTTACTTATACTTGCAGGCACCCCCAGAATTAGTTTTGGCTGTAGCTAGAGAGTCTGCATTGCTTGAAGGAGCAAAACCAATTAATCCTACTGATGAAATCATAAGGGAAAATGTTTTAAGAACTGGGGTAAGGAAGGTTTTATTTTGAAGATGGGTATATTTAAGAGTACTTAACCGACGAGCATGTATACGTAGCAGCGTTATGCGAGTATATGAATGTGAAAGAAGGGATAGATGTGTGTCAGGATCGATCCAAATGGAAGTCCGTGGTCTCTGTCTACGGCTGTGAAGGTTGTGAGAGCTTAAGTTTTTTCTTATAAAAATAATGTAGTCTTATGATTCATATTGTGTGATTTTTTATTTATCACTAGCTGATACCCGCGACTTCGTCCCCGTTGCTTACACACATCACTGAACACGTAGTGCTTTTAAAAATCGTTGATTTTTAAAACTTTAATAACATTATATTAAATGAAGACATCGCAATATTTTTTTTAGATAAGTACCAAGTATCTAAAAAATAAAACATGGAAAACATAATTGAAATATATCCAGTAGTTTTTCCGTGATGCGCGCACAACTGCAAACCTGTGCACAACCAAAACCATTTTATTTATATACATTAGTGACAAATGACATGGATACCTACATACAAACTTGAAATGAAGAAGCCTTCGTATGCCTTGTCATCGCTGAGGAATATGATGAAATGCCTCACAACTTGTTGCCAGCTTATATTAGCGGGATAATTCTGCAGTGCTTCGTAGAGAATCTAATAATGCGGCATCCCATTTTAACAGTGGTAGAGCCACGCGCAGCTTTCGCTGTCGCACGGATGGGCCGGCTCGATGCGGGGTGGTACCACGACCTCACAGAATACCAGCGTGAAGTAGAGGTTTACCTCTGCGTTTCGCTTGGTGAGTGCAGGTGGCCGGAGGCCCTTTTTACTGGAAATGAGGCATTCCATCTTAGTCCTCACGGGTGACAACGCATCTGCATTTTGATTCGCAAGCGAGGATAGATGTAGATGTCTATGGGCCGCAGCAACCACTTACCATCAGGTGGACTGTGTGCTCGTTTGTCACCCTTATTTTATAATAAAAAAAAACTCCTCAAAGGCAACAATGTATCTGCATTTTGATTTATTTTCTCAAGAGTCCCCAAAAGTCCTTAATTCCTCAAGAGGCGTTCCAGGTGATAGGACTTTTCTTCTGCCTAAGACGTCCGTACTACTACTCTTACCATTTATACGTGGTAGCGTCATGCTGCAGCTATATTAGTAGTGTAGTTATAGCACGAATTGGTCGGCTCGAGCGGCGAAGGACCACGCTCTCACAGAATACCAGCGCAAAATAGCAGCTTAACACTGTTGTGTTTCATATGGTGAGTGTAGAGAACCGGAGACCCTTTTTACTAGAATATAGGCATTACATCTTAGTCCTCACCGGTGATAACGCATCTGCATTTTGATTGTTTATCGAGGATAGATTTAGATGTCTATGACTCGCAGCTACCACTTACCATCTGGTGGACTGTGTGCCCGTTTGTCAATCTATCCTATAAAAAAACAATATATACCATACCTATAGCATATACCATATCCGTACACCATACCTTTACTGCTGTGTTCCGGTCTAAGCCCGTAAAATTTTTGAATTGAGAGGCATTACATCTAAATTCTCAGAGGTGACAACTTATCTATAGACTTAGATGTTTGACGTTGGCTGCAGGCGTTCGTGGACTGAAGTAGCCACTTACCATCAGGTTTGTTAGCACTTCGATTATTTATTTATTTTTTTGTATAGGAGAGGGGGCAAACGAGCATGCGGCTCACCTGATGGTAAGTGACTACCGCAGACAGAGCAGGCAGAGTAACCGCAACATCAGGGGAATTGCAGATGCGTTGCCGGCCTTTTAAAAAGGAGTAAGCTCTTTTCTTGAAGGTCCCTAAGTCGTATCGGTCCGGAAAAATCGCTGGTGGTAAGCTATTCCACAAGGAAGTTGTGCGAGGAAGAAAACATCTTCTAAATCGCATAGTGGTGGACCGCCAATCATCCAGATGGTGTGGATGGTATCGGGAGTTCTGCCGCGATGTGCGTTCGTGAAATTTGGCGGCTGGGATTAATCCGAACAATTCCCCATGGTAAATGCGAAAGAAAATGCAAAGAGATGCTACATCTCTTCGCAGTGCCAACGAGTCGAGCCGATCGGAAAGGACTCGGTCGTCGACGATTCGAGCCGATTATATAAAAATGAGCCTCTCCCGTTAAAGAGAGTATCGCCTCAGTCGGCTAATTATTTTAGTCTTATTTTTTTTCTTGTTTTTTTTTTAAAGTTACCTCCACACTAGAACCATCTAAATATTTTGATCCCAATTTGGAAATAAATGTGTCTTTGAACTACAGAACCACTTTCCATCTGGTGGACTGTGGTCTTGTTTGTCATCCTTATGTATATGTATATAAATATCTATTTTGGTAATATTGCAAAGGATTATTGGAACTCCGTATGGAAAGAAGATGTATATAGTCCAGTTCAAGCACTAAGGACAAAAAAAGACGAAGACCGAACATCTGAAATTGTAAGTAATAACCGATTTACTAATTCATCAGTATTTGACAGTCATACAACTTGGGCTTAGATATAGATAGCGATACGGAGTCATGTGCACAACTTTTTTTTATAGAAGAGAGGGCAAACGAGCATGCGGCTCACCTGGTGGTAAGTGTCGACCGCCGCCCACGAACAACTGCAACACAGGGGAATCGCAGGTGCATTGCCGACCTTCTAAAAAGGAGTAAGCTCTTTTCTTGAAGGTCTGTAAGTCGTATCGGTCCGGAAAAATCGCCGATGGTAAGCTATTCCACAGAGAGGTCGTACGCGAAAGAAAACTCCTAGTGAAGCGTATACTGGTGGACCGCCAAGCATCCAGATTGTTGTGGATGGTATCGGGAGTTTTGCCGAGATGTGCGTTCGTGAGGCTCTTTTCTTGTCATATCGGTCCGGAAAAATCGCTCGTAGTATTCGAATCCACAAGGAAGTTGTACGAAGAAAAAAACTTCTTGTAAATTGCACAGTGGTGGACCGCTAATCATCCAGATCCAGATTCCAGGTTGGCTGGAATTAATCCGAACAAGTCCTTGGAGCACTCCCCGTGGTAGATGCGATAAAATACGCAAAGAGATGAAAACTCTCTTTGCAGTGCCAGTGAATCAAGCCTATCAAAAAGAGCACGGTCGCCGACGATTCGAACCGCTCTGCGTTGAAGTTTCTGGCACTGGGGAGCCCCGGCCCAAAAATGGGAGCAGTATTGTATGTGAGGCCGAATCTATGCCTTGTAAAGTTGCAGGCGGAGTGTCGGCATGAAATACTGTCCCCACTCTGCTGGGAACGACAAGTTTTTTAGAGGCCAATTTGGCCTTCTATTCCAAGTGACCATGAAACTGCACGTCATTCGATATGTTCAGGATTCCAATGGGCAACATGGGGAATGCCATGAAACAGAGGAGATACGACAAAGGGCTATTATATTCAAAATGCGTGGTATTGCATTATTTTAACTGATTATCATTCATCAATATCTAACGCATACTATTTTACTACGCACCCACACATTCGTAAGAGTCGATCGGTCGGCAAAAACGTTGTAAATCGAATAGCACACAGAAGAACGCGCGTACGCGTAGTTGTTGCCCAAAAATCACATTCAATTTGGGATATTCAAATAAAAGTAGAAGCCATACTTGCTCGTATTTTCAACAAACTGTAATAACGGTATATCATTATTTATATACTTGAACCTAAGTTGAAAAAAAATATAAAAAGCTACTCTTTGATATATATATCTTTGATATGAATAACCCTAGACCAAGTGATTAATAAGGGCACTATTTATAATGCCCGCGCAATTTGAATAGTGGCAAGTCAAATCGTGCTATGTAATTAATGCTGATTTAAACTTCATGATTTATCACAATTTCTGGTACATATGAATATTGCTACGTATCTATTAGGCAATCTTACAGAATGTCCCAGAACTCAACGTCAAGCCGAAACGGGGGTGACAGGATTAATTATAACCATCATGAGAAAAATCAGAAGAAAAATCTATCCCACGCAGTTTGGAAATTATGGGCATTTAAGAAAAAGCTAGAAATTTGGTCAAACTGTAAATATTTTTCGGTTTTTGTGGTTAATTTTTATTATTTTTGTAAACGAGCATGCGGCTCACCTGATGGTAAGTGGCTACCGCCGCCCATGAACAACCGCAACACCAGGGGGAATTGCAGATGCGTTGCCGGCCTTTTAGAAAGGTGTAAGCTCTTTTCTTGAAGGTTCCTAAGTCGTATCGATCCGGAAAATTCGCTGGTGGTAATTGATTCCACAAGGAAGTTGTGCGAGGGAGAAAACTTCTTCTAAATCGCACAGTGGTGGACCGCCAATCATCCAGATGGTATGGATGGAAACGCGAGTTTTGTCGCGATGTGCGATGGTGAAACTGAGCGGCTGGAATTAGTCCGAACAATTCCTCAGAGCACTCCCCGTGATAGATGCGATAAAATACGCAAAGAGATGCAACATCTCTACGCAGTGCCAGTGTATCGAGCCGATCAGAAAGAACTCGGTCGTCGACGATTCGAACCGCTCTGCGCTGGATGCGGTCAAGTGGAAGGAGCTGGCACTGGGGTGCCCCGGCCAAGAGATGAGAACAGTATTCCATGTGGGGCCGAACTTGCGCTTTGTAAAGTTGCAAGCAATGTGCCGGCATGAAATATATGGATGGTATCGGGAGTTTTGCCGAGATGTGCGTTCGTGAGGCTCTTTTCTTGTCATATCGGTCCGGAAAAATCGCTCGTAGTATTCGAATCCACAAGGAAGTTGTACGAAGAAAAAAACTTCTTGTAAATTGCACAGTGGTGGACCGCTAATCATCCAGATCCAGATTCCAGGTTGGCTGGAATTAATCCGAACAAGTCCTTGGAGCACTCCCCGTGGTAGATGCGATAAAATACGCAAAGAGATGAAAACTCTCTTTGCAGTGCCAGTGAATCAAGCCTATCAAAAAGAGCACGGTCGCCGACGATTCGAACCGCTCTGCGTTGAAGTTTCTGGCACTGGGGAGCCCCGGCCCAAAAATGGGAGCAGTATTGTATGTGAGGCCGAATCTATGCCTTGTAAAGTTGCAGGCGGAGTGTCGGCATGAAATACTGTCCCCACTCTGCTGGGAACGACAAGTTTTTTAGAGGCCAATTTGGCCTTCTATTCCAAGTGACCATGAAACTGCACGTCATTCGATATGTTCAGGATTCCAATGGGCAACATGGGGAATGCCATGAAACAGAGGAGATACGACAAAGGGCTATTATATTCAAAATGCGTGGTATTGCATTATTTTAACTGATTATCATTCATCAATATCTAACGCATACTATTTTACTACGCACCCACACATTCGTAAGAGTCGATCGGTCGGCAAAAACGTTGTAAATCGAATAGCACACAGAAGAACGCGCGTACGCGTAGTTGTTGCCCAAAAATCACATTCAATTTGGGATATTCAAATAAAAGTAGAAGCCATACTTGCTCGTATTTTCAACAAACTGTAATAACGGTATATCATTATTTATATACTTGAACCTAAGTTGAAAAAAAATATAAAAAGCTACTCTTTGATATATATATCTTTGATATGAATAACCCTAGACCAAGTGATTAATAAGGGCACTATTTATAATGCCCGCGCAATTTGAATAGTGGCAAGTCAAATCGTGCTATGTAATTAATGCTGATTTAAACTTCATGATTTATCACAATTTCTGGTACATATGAATATTGCTACGTATCTATTAGGCAATCTTACAGAATGTCCCAGAACTCAACGTCAAGCCGAAACGGGGGTGACAGGATTAATTATAACCATCATGAGAAAAATCAGAAGAAAAATCTATCCCACGCAGTTTGGAAATTATGGGCATTTAAGAAAAAGCTAGAAATTTGGTCAAACTGTAAATATTTTTCGGTTTTTGTGGTTAATTTTTATTATTTTTGTAAACGAGCATGCGGCTCACCTGATGGTAAGTGGCTACCGCCGCCCATGAACAACCGCAACACCAGGGGGAATTGCAGATGCGTTGCCGGCCTTTTAGAAAGGTGTAAGCTCTTTTCTTGAAGGTTCCTAAGTCGTATCGATCCGGAAAATTCGCTGGTGGTAATTGATTCCACAAGGAAGTTGTGCGAGGGAGAAAACTTCTTCTAAATCGCACAGTGGTGGACCGCCAATCATCCAGATGGTATGGATGGAAACGCGAGTTTTGTCGCGATGTGCGATGGTGAAACTGAGCGGCTGGAATTAGTCCGAACAATTCCTCAGAGCACTCCCCGTGATAGATGCGATAAAATACGCAAAGAGATGCAACATCTCTACGCAGTGCCAGTGTATCGAGCCGATCAGAAAGAACTCGGTCGTCGACGATTCGAACCGCTCTGCGCTGGATGCGGTCAAGTGGAAGGAGCTGGCACTGGGGTGCCCCGGCCAAGAGATGAGAACAGTATTCCATGTGGGGCCGAACTTGCGCTTTGTAAAGTTGCAAGCAATGTGCCGGCATGAAATACCGTCTCGCTCTGCTGAGCACGCCAAGCTTTTTAGAGGCCAATTTGGCCTTCCCTTCCAAGTGACCACGAAACTGCACACTATTCGATATGTCGACGCCAAGGATTCCGATACTAGCTGAGGCAGCAAGGGGAGTGCCTTGAAACTAAGGAGATACGACAAAGGGGTTCTTTTTAGCGGTAAATGCGCAAATTTCTGTCTTCTGGGGATTGAACTGGACTAGATTTAGTCGGCCCCAATCCGAGACTTTGTTAAGCAAAAACTCGACTTCAGACACAAGCTTGTCCCGGTACTCAGCGACGTTTTCCCGAGAAATATTGGCACGGCCGGTATATAAGGCATCACCAGTGCTGTCGTCTGCATAGCAATGAATGCTACCAGTTAGCAACATATCATTGATATGCAGGAGAAACAGCGTTGGTGATAGCACGCAGCCTTGTGGAACACCAGCGTTGATAGGCTTGAAATCAGAGCATGCACCGTCTACTACGACCTTGATGCTCCGATCAGCAAGGAAACTGGTGATCCATTTGCACAATTTCTCGGGAAGCCCATAGGAAGGAAGCTTCGAAAGAAGCACTTTGTGCCAGATCCGATCGAAGGCTTTCGCTATGTCCAAACTAACGACCAATGCCTCCCTCTTGGACTTTACTGCCTCTGCCCATCTATGAGTCAGATAGACTAGAAGATCACCTGCTGATCGACCTCGACGAAAACCGTGCTGGCGGTCACTAATCAGCTGGTGATCCTCAAGGTACCTCATGAGCTGGCAGTTTATAATGGATTCCGTTATTTTGGAGAACAAGGAGATGATGGCAATAGGCCTGTAGTTGGACGGGTCTGAGCGGTCGCCTATTTTAGGGATCGGGTGGATCAAAGCTGTCTTCCATGAATTCGGGACTACGCCTTGGGAGTAGGAGTACCGGAAAAGATGCGTTAAAACCGGTGCCAACTCCGGAGCACACGTCTTCAGCACAATGGGAGGGATTCCATCAGGCCCACTCGACTTGCTGACGTCCAGGGAGAAGAGTGCTTTGCGAACCGAGCGCTGTGTAAACCGCACATCCGGCATGGAGTACTCACATCGCGGGATGGTCGGTGGTGTGTTCCCCCCGTCATCTAGAGTCGAGTTGGACGCAAAAAGAGAGCTCAACAGATCGGCTTTCTCCTTTGCGGCATGGGCCAGTGAATCGTCCTCTCTGTGCAGAGATGGAAGAGATGGCTGACAGAAGTTCCCTTGCCTTGGCGAGAGACCAGAATGCACGGGTTCCCGAAGGAAGGCGAACTAGCTTCTCGCCAATTCTGCCGATGTGCTCAGACTTTGCCTTGGCAATGGCGCTTTTGAAGGACCTGGAGGCGGAATTATACATCCCGAGACGTTGATGCGTCAGCCCAGGCCCGGTAGCACTCCTGCTTATAGCGTGATGCTATTTTACAGGAGAGACCAAACCATGGCTGGGATCTGCCTCCGATGGGCACCACAGAGGATGGAATAAAAAGTTCCATACCCTGAAGTACCACATCAGCAACAGAATCGGCAACAACGCTGGGATCTTCCGGCGAGAAGCAAACCCGCAACCCAAGGGTAGGATGCAAAAAAAGACCGCATCCCGTCCCAATCAGCTGACCTATAGTGCCAAACACGGCGGCAAGTTGCAGATCGCAACTGCGATTGGAGCGTGAGTGGCACCGTACTCCGGATCAGACAATGGTCCGAAGAGCCCAGAGGGGCATCGACGAAGACCTGATATCCGTCCGGATGAGAGGTCAGCAGAAGGTCCAACAGGGAAGGTATATGGTCTTCCACATCTGGGATCCGCGTAGGCGAAGTAACCAGTTGTGTTAGACCATATGCCAAAGCAAAGTCATAGACAGATCTATCCGCATGATCGGTTAAACGAGAACCAAGACATTCAGCGTGGTGGGCGTTAAAATCACCGAGTATCACGATCTCTGCGGATGGGACCTGTTGTAGCATGGAGTCTACAGCCATTTGAACGTGGTCGATGAGTCGGTCTGTGTCGGCATTACCGCTATGGGACCTATAGAGGCACCCGTAGACGCGGGGATGGTCGTCGCTGTCTACGTGCAGCCATAGGATGGACAGGTCCGTACCTTCAAGACTGCCGAGGCGTCGAAAACAGAGAGGACTGACGTATACGCAAACTCCAGCCCGGGGCACAAAGGAAAGTTGGAATGAAGTCCCCTGATGTTGCAAAAATTCACGGATAGCGTGACAGGGGTCGCCTTGGTTGTATTGCTCCGCTTGCCCCGAGCAGCATTAGTCACGAGCGTAATTTTGCCCCCCCCCCCCCCAGAATACGCGGGGCAGCCTGAGCACCCACGCTCAGGAGTGAAGTAGTTTGGTCGTGGATGCTCAGCGAGGGATTACTGGCTCCTTGGTTGGGACTTGATTGGGACTCCTGGGGTAGTCTTTTATTTAATTCCACTACCATGTTGATGGGGGGGGGAGGGGATTGGGCCTCCGGCCACCTGCACTCACCAAGCGCAACGCAGAGGTAAACCTCTACTTCACGCTGGTATTCTGTGAGGTCGTGGTACCACCCCGGTTCGAGCTGGCCCATCCGTGCGACAGCAAAAGCTACCGCTTAGCTCTACCACTGTTAACATCGTCCTGTCCTATCGCAAAAAACGTCGCAGTTCCTCAGGGTCCGTTCTCTCCGCAACTCTTTTCCTGCTGCACATAAATGATCTGCTCTTTCCCGGTATCCACAGTTGTGGAGAGATACCAACCAAGTGCTCGGGTCAGGCGGGACCAAATCCAGTCCGAAAGAGAAGCTATGGTTGACCGTGTGAATCTCCAGGCAGTCTCCGAATGCTCCTACTTTCCGGAACGTATCCCTGGAATACACTGACCGCCTTCAGTTGTTAGAGGTTGAATTTTCTCCAAACCTCAACTATGGGCGGTTCATTGAATTCAGAGTCAAAGTAGCCGCAAAGAAACTTGATATCCTTGTAAGGGTGCGGCGGTACTTCACCCCGGAGCAGCATCTTACCTTATATAAAGCGCAAGTCCGGTCGTGCATGGACTGCTGTCACATATAGGATGGTGCTGCAAAAATACAAAATGTCTGAACTTGCAAGTAAATATAATTTGTTATAATTATTTTAGCCTAGACAGGTTATACTATTCTAGATATTATTATAGACCCTATTTGTGACGTTTTTCTTTGTTGTGTCAAATTTTTGTGGCGTTTGTGTTTCCATTATAAAGATCACAACTACAGCTATAACTTAATTTTTTTACTATTTACTTAACCACAATAAATAAAAGAATTTGTTTTGCAGGAAATTGTGCCAGCGAGAATAAAGCCCGGATCCAAATTTTATCGCCTTATATCCATGCTCAAAAAGATTTCACCGCGCCTACTCTATGTGATAAATAATGATGACAGGATATAATTTGTTAAATACGAGTATGCCAGGAACATGTTGAAATTTTTTCTATAAAATATATTAAAAACAATTTGATTTGTATAAATATATTCAGATTTATAAATTTCATCCGTTCAAAGTCTGTCAGTATTTATTTCGTGTAACTTCTGCTTGATGATTGATGTTGTATACACACAAATTCAACATTTCAAATATATTATTTGTTTTGTTGAGACAATGGTTCGTAATTGTAGCATGTATGCTAGAATCGGATAGGTGGCTTTGTAGGTTTTTTTTATAGGTTTAGGGTGACAACGAGCACACAATCTACCTAATGGTAAGTGATTTCTGTGGCCCATAGACTTCTACATCTATCCTCGATTACGAATCAAAATGCAGATGCGTTGTCACTCGTAAGGACTAAGATGACGTGATGTAAGGAATACTAACATTTATCCTCGCTGAATCAAAATGCGGATGCGTTGTCACCCCTGATGACTAAGATGAAATACCTCGTTTCCAATAAAAAGTCTCCAGTTCTCTGCGCTCACCATCAGCAGCGTAAAACTACTATTTTACGCTAGCATTCTATGAGTGCGTGGTCCTTCTCCGGTCGAGTCGACTCATTCGTGCTACAATCATGTCTCATCTGTATGCCGATAACTTCAGCTTTACGTGCAAGCTGAAATAGGGGATATCCATAATGGGATTAAATAACAACTTATCAGCTATCAAGGATTGGTCTACTCGTTATGGAGTGTTGGTAAATCCTTCGAAATGCCAAGCTATACTGGTGGGTAGCTCAAGGATGCTAGCCAAGATTAATCTTGCAGACATACCCCCAATCTACTACAATGGGATTACAATACCGTTCAGTAAGTCTGTAAAAAATCTTGGCCTACACATTGACAGCACGCTGAATTGGAGAACTCAGGTTACTGAAGTCAGTCGTAAAGTCACTGCTACGTTACGTTCTCTGTATCGTTTAAAACATATTCTCCCCACAAAGTCTAAGATCATGCTTGTCCAATCGCTCATATTACCGATAATTGATTATGCAGATGTGTGTTACCCGGATCTGTCGCAGGATCTTCTGAACAAGCTGGAACGCCTTCTCAATAACGGTATAAGATTTATTTTCGGGTTTCGTAAGTATGACCATGTTTCGCAATATAGATCTAAGCTTAATTGGCTTACAATCCGGCAGAGGCGTATTTCCAGAATATTACTTGTTCTTTTTTCATATTAAATGACCTTTTTTCGCCTTCTTATCTTAAGAGTAAATTTCACTATCTCTCCTCATCTCATGATAGGGTTCTACGTTCGTCTTCTAACAACAAAATATGTATTCCAGTTCACTTCACCGAGTTCTATGGTAACTCCTTTACAGTTCAGGCTGCACGCCTTTGGAACTCCTTGCCTAACGACGTCAGAAAAGCTCCCAATAAGTTTGCTTTTAAAAAGTTGGTGCGTAATCATCTGTTAAAGACAACGCTTCTTACATGAATCATCCATGTCATTTATATTTTTAGACGTATATATTTATAGTTATTTATATGTTCTATTTGTATATGTATGTTGGTATGGATATATGTATGTTTATGTATGTGCGTATATATTTGTATACATGTATAAATAGGATATGTTTTTATAGTTTATTTATTGTATATATTAGTAAAATGTATATATAACGTAATTAATTATCATATCTATTTTGTTTTTATTCTATAATGCTACACCTACTTCAAATTCTCACCACTCCATGGCTTGACTGGTAGAGAATGCCACAAGGCATTAAGTCCGCCCTTTGTATTCTTTTAGATAAAGGAATGCAATAAAGAATAAATAAAATAAATCATAATACAATATTGCAGCATAGCTCTACCACGTTTTTACGTGGTAGAGCCATGTTGCAGCTATATTGATAGTAACACGAATGAGCCGGCTCGACCGGGGAAGGACCACGCTCTCACAGAATACCAGCGTCAAATAGCAGCTTAACACTGCTGTGTTTCGTATGGTGAACGTAGAGAACCGGAGACACTTTTTACTAGAAAAGAGGCATTCCATCTTAGTCCTCACGGGCGACAACGCATCTGCATTTTTATTCGCAAACGAGGATAAATGTAGATGTCTATGGGCGACAGCAGCCACTTACCATCAGGTGGACTGTGTGCTCGTTTGTCACCCTATCCTATAAAAAAAAAACACGTACAAATTTCATTCCCATATCATTAATCCGAATCGAATGAAACTTTGGCAAGTATTTGTATGTACGACAGCGAAGTTTTCTGAATAAGAAAATAACATGTTCATCTGGGGCACGGCAGTGTGTGCACGCCAAGTCGAGCAAAAAAGCAGCACGGCCGTACCATCCTTTTCTCGAAGGAGTTCAGGCCGTTTTCGAAAAGCATAACTTCGTTGTGGATAAAACTAGAAGCCTGAATTTTCAGAAACCAAATAGGAATTGTATAAGCTCGGTATATTTCCAATTTCAATCAATTTGAACTAGTAGTTTAAGAATTATAACTAGTCAAAGTTTCTTAATTTTGTCACTCACTCACTGACCGCTCATCAAAACTGTAAGGCACTTCTAGCAGACATAGAAGCTTCAAATTTAAACACAATTATTTTTTAGTATTTAAATCAAGGAAAAACTAAAATATTTTGCACTTTCTGTCCAGTTTTCGAGATACACTAACTGCATAAATAACTTTGTAATGCCATTAGGTATATAGGATTACAAAGTTACATTTGCAGTGAATGAATCAGTGTACCTATATATGTATAATATAATGGAATAATAGATGTAGATAAGTACCTAAAAATCTACAAAAAGAAATGAGATGCCATCAAAAACATAACTTGTAAAAAAAACCAAGTCTCGCAACTCAGTTCTTCTACTGTAAAAAATTGTGAGATCCATGTAATATTAACAGTGGTAGAGCCACGCGGCACGGCGACTTTTGCTGTCGCACGGATGGGCCGGCTCGAACCGGGGTAGTACCACGACCTCACAGAAAACCAGCGTGAAGTAGAGGTTTACCTCTGCGTTTCGCTTGGTGAGTGCAGGTGGCCGGAGGCCCTTTTTACTGGAAATGAGGCATTCCATCTTAGTCCTCACGGGTGACAACGCATCTACATTTTGATTTGTAACAGAGGATAGATGTAGATATGGGCCGCAGCAATCACTTACCATCAGGTGGACTGTGTGCTCGTTTGTCACCCTTATCCTATAAAAAAAAAAAATATCAAGTCAGTTAATTTATTCAGTCTCTACTTAAGCTTCCTTCTGTCTTAAGTTATTACATAATTAGCTAACCTAACAACATCTTATAATGACCACATCAATACTAAAAATCTTTTAAATTTTAAATAAATAGATTGACTTGGCCATCGCATGAAAACACAATGTATCTCTCAAGTAATACATACTATATTAAATTAGATTGTTTAGTGCGATTGCCATTCAATTTATTTTATACGTGGTAGAGCCATGCTGCAGCTATATTAGCACGAATGGGTCGGCCCGACCGGGGAAGTACCACGCTCTCACAGAATATCATCAATAGAATTCATGGTGAGAGTAGAAAAATAAACTGTTTCATTTCATAGATCGCTGCTATTTCTTCGCATATCAAAACAATTGATTGGTAGCCAACTGACGTTTTTGATAACGTTAGGAGATTGAACGCATAAGCGTAGCAACTTCAAAGGCCTGTTAATTAATTTCAAACATAAATATATTATTATACAATCGTAAATAAATTATAAACACATTAATAAAGATGCTTACTATCTTAGTTATGTCGTTGAAATATTGTGTAGGTATAAAATTCAGAAATGTTGGTAGTATCCATGTACCAAATTTTTAACTTACATTGTTCGAAGCAATGTTTTGTAGTGCTATACGTGGTAGAGCCATGCTGCAGTTGTATTATGGTTGCAGCACGAATGCGTCGCCTCGACCGGGGAAGGACACTCTCACAGAATACCGGGTTAAATAATTTAAAATTAAAAATTTTGTACAACCCACTTCAATATATAACTCAAAAACTATTGGTCAAATTTAAATTAGAATATGCTTGTTATGTCTTTAATTTTTCATAACTTTAAGTCGTATTTTTTTTTCCTTTGCTACGCACAATTGTTTTACGTAATTTCGACAAATAGCCACTTTGTTCTATTGTAAAATCTTTTGTTTGACCCCCACGAGACAGGCCATGCCTAGTGTGGGAGTCACAGAACTTTTTTGTATTTTGGCTAAGTGTTTCTGGTAAATAAATAAATTTATTATTATTATTATTATTATATGGGACCACATGAGAAGCACCAGTTTCAAATAAAAAAAGGATCATCGAAATCGGTTCACCGAGAAATAAGTTAAAAGTTAAAAGAAGCATACAGTGGAATTGAGTACCTCCTCCTTTTCGGTAGGTCGGTTGAAAAAAATAAAAGTGGGCTTAGGCACTAAAGTGGGTGTTGTATATACGGCTCATATCCTGCATTAGATTTTTTAGGGGCTTTTGAAATAGAAGCATTTATGAGTACATAAAACTGAAGAGTGTAACGAAGTTAATGCACGTAATAGTAAGTGGTAACTTATAGCCCATGGACACCTGCAACCAGCTACATACATAAAACGGCGGCTCTTCACATTGGCCAACATTGCATTGTGGCGAATGTGTTGGCAAAGATATTAGCCAAGAGTTTGTGATGACGTCCGTATGTTAGAAGGTCGTTCTTTTATTCGGTTCGGGCCAATGTGCCGACGAATTTATTAAAATGGATATTGAGGCGCTAACGGCTGCTGCGGTTTATTTATTCACAGCATACAGCTACTACGTGAATGTGTATAAGAAAAGGGTGATTAAAAAGAAATGAAAAAAAAAAGAACTTTTATTTCTTGTGTTTCACAAACAATTTTCGGCTTGGTAGAGTTCTATAAAGCCAAAAGTTTCTTTATTGGTCATTGTTAATCAAAATCAAAATAAACACGCGCCCAACCTGTGGACGCGGTGGCCATA